GGGTCATAGAGGCGCGGGTCATGGGTCCAGCTGAAGGTACGGGCCACAAAGGCACGGGTCATAAAGGCAGGGGTCATGGGTCCAGCTGAAGGCACGGGCCACAAAGGCACGGGTCACAAAGGCACGGGTCATAGAGGCGCGGGTCATGGGTCCAGCTGAAGGTACGGGCCACAAAGGCACGGGTCATAAAGGCACGGGTCATGGGTCCAGCTGAAGGCACGGGCCACAAAGGCACGGGTCATAAAGGCACGGGTCATGGGTCCAGCTGAAGGCACGGGCCACAAAGGCACGGGTCATAGAGGCACGGGTCATGGGTCCAGCTGAAGGCACGGGCCACAAAGGCACGGGTCATAAAGGCACGGGTCATGGGTCCAGCTGAAGGCACGGGCCACAAAGGCACGGGTCATAGAGGCACGGGTCATGGGTCCAGCTGGAGGCACGGGTCATGGGTCCAGCTGGGAGGCACGGGCCATGGTGGCATGGGTCATGGGTCCAGCGGTTGGCCAATGATAATATCAACATTACTCATCATTTATATTGCCAATAAGTCATGAGTCGCAGCAATCAATAGTTGTTGACAGTAAATATGACCTCACATGAGTTGAGTGATTGACTGCAATATTAATGGATAAATTGGATGAAGTCATAATCCATCATGATGGATGATGATCCATTCATCCATCCATCATAATGGATGAAGTCCTTCTATGAGTGTAAGAAGTGAGTGAAACTAACCTATTTTGTTACGAACCATTTATTATAGTTATCAATGCCGTACGTTTTAAATAGAATTATTAATTATCAAAAATGTCTTCTTTTTGGTAAAACACAGAGAGCAAGGCTTTATAGGTATCATGCTCGTAAATGAACTTTTATAATGTGATACTATTTACTTTATATCGTATTCTTTTGTATGAGATTATTTTAAAAGCTCTATTTACATTGGAAAACTTGATTCGGTAAAGCCTGCTTGCTGAACTGGTTTAATTATTGTAGGAACATAAGNGTGTGTCATGAGTCACAGCGTTAAGCGTGTCACGTGTGTCATGAGTCATAGCGTGTCACGTGTGTCATGAGTCACAGCGTTAAGCGTGTCACGTGTGTCATGAGTCATAGCGTGTCACGTGTGTCATGAGTCACAGCGTTAAGCGTGTCACGTGTGTCATGAGTCATAGCGTGTCACGTGTGTCATGAGTCACAGCGTTAAGCGTGTCACGTGTGTCATGAGTCATAGCGTGTCACGTGTGTCATGAGTCACAGCGTTAAGCGTGTCACGTGTGTCATGAGTCATAGCGTGTCACGTGTGTCATGAGTCACAGCGTTAAGCGTGTCACGTGTGTCATGAGTCATAGCGTGTCACGTGTGTCATGAGTCACAGCGTTAAGCGTGTCACGTGTGTCATGAGTCATAGCGTGTCACGTGTGTCATGAGTCACAGCGTTAAGCGTGTCACGTGTGTCATGAGTCATAGCGTGTCACGTGTGTCATGAGTCACAGCGTTAAGCGTGTCACGTGTGTCATGAGTCATAGCGTGTCACGTGTGTCATGAGTCACAGCGTTAAGCGTGTCACGTGTGTCATGAGTCATAGCGTGTCACGTGTGTCATGAGTCACAGCGTTAAGCGTGTCACGTGTGTCATGAGTCATAGCGTGTCACGTGTGTCATGAGTCACAGCGTTAAGCGTGTCACGTGTGTCATGAGTCATAGCGTGTCACGTGTGTCATGAGTCACAGCGTTAAGCGTGTCACGTGTGTCATGAGTCATAGCGTGTCACGTGTGTCATGAGTCACAGCGTTAAGCGTGTCACGTGTGTCATGAGTCATAGCGTGTCACGTGTGTCATGAGTCACAGCGTTAAGCGTGTCACGTGTGTCATGAGTCATAGCGTGTCACGTGTGTCATGAGTCACAGCGTTAAGCGTGTCACGTGTGTCATGAGTCATAGAGTGTCACGTGTGTCATGAGTCACAGCGTTAAGCGTGTCACGTCACTATACCTTAAAAGTGTCCTTAAACACCAAAAGTATATCTGTGCAACAAACGTATCATTATACCCTAAAAGTGACCCTAAACACCAAAAGTATATCTGTACAACAAACGTATCATTATACCCTAAAAATGACCCTAAACACCAAAAGTATCTCTGTACAACAAACGTGTCACTACACTCTAAAAGTGTCCCCAAACACCACAAGTATCTCTGTACAACAAACGTGTCCCTATACCCTAAAAATGTCCCTAAACATAAAAAATTTCTTTTTACAACAAACGTGTCTCTATACCTTAAAAGTGTCCATAAACCCCAAAAATATCTATTTACAACAAACGTCCCTCTATACCTTAAAGCGTGTCACGTGTGTCATGAGTCATAGCGTGTCACGTGTGTCATGAGTCATAGCGTGTCACGTGTGTCATAAGTTCCGTATCTCTATTCAGTAAATGAATTTCTAAACAGCTAACGTATTCCTATACCCTAAAAGTGTCCCTAAGCACGAAAAGTATCTCTGTACAATAAATGTGTCTCTACACCCTCCAAGTGTCCCACAACATCACAAGGGTCCCCATGTGTCCCCAGGTCGTCAGGGACGGAGCCTCTGCACGCGCGCATCAGCGTGGGCCCCCCGACGGCGACGCAGAAAGATCAGTTCCGCTTGGCGCTGTTCCTAGCTTGCTTCCTGTTGCTGGGAGGCGTCTGCCTAGCCATCCTAGTCAAGATGCGCTGCAACCGCCGCAACTCCCAGCGCCAGCAGGTGCGTGTCAGCTGGGACCGTCCCAACTCCCAGCGTCAGCAGGTGCGTGTTGGCTGGGACCGTCCCAACTCCCAGCGCCAGCAGGTGCGTGTCAGCTGGGACCGTCCCAACTCCCAGCGTCAGCAGGTGCGTGTTGGCTGGGACCGTCCCAACTCCCAGCGCCAGCAGGTGCGTGTCAGCTGGGACCGTCCCAACTCCCAGCGCCAGCAGGTGCGTGTCAACTGGGACCGTCTCAACTCCCAGCGCCACTCACGTTTGATTATTTATTCATTTTGAATATTTACTCTTGTATATTAATAAGAAACTCAAACAGGTCTCCCAGGCACACAATAAGTTCAGCCATCAAACGAAATTGATATCCAAACATTCGATGACGTTTGTCCAGCGATGCCATTTGTCGTTTGTTTAATCAGTTTAAATGTCGTGACCAGACGAGAAACCTGACGAAAACAAAAGATAAATAGACAATCGTTATCGTGAAATATGACATCCGAGTTTGACAAAATCGTCTGTGGATGGAGAGGCGATCTTTGACGGATAATGAATCGCCTGACTGGTCTTTTTGCCGGCAGGCGAGCTACTTGGCCCAGCAGGCGAAGCGGGCCCTGTCCCGCATGGAGTGCAGGCGCTATAAGGACGCCGCGGCTGCCAAAGACAACACATCCAAAGTTCACATCAAGATGAAGACTCTCAAGGTAAGTCATCCACTTATTTCGTTAGTTACATTCAGAGAAATAAGTGAAATTGACCAAATAGCGACGTGCTTTTTTGGCTTTGAATTTAGATTCAGGCAGGTTCATTTTGACCCATTTTTGCCCGGTTAAAGGGCATTTCAGTGCTACGTATACGCTCTCTACTCGTGAAACGTAAAAAGGTGTTTCACTATTTAGACAATATTTTCCTATGTGCGCGTGTACAAACACCGGAATTATTATTTATTTCGTTTATTATTCATTTTCAGTAATGGATGATAAACAATATCAGTTATATCAGTCGAGATTTTCAAATCTGTACCCAAATTTTATTATTTTATTGTACATTTATTTTCCGCCCAGTTATTGTGACATGGACACATGTCTTGCAAGAATCCTTTTCACTTTACGTTGCATTTTGCATGAGTTGCATTATCTATCGCTACGTAAATGAAAGTTCATGTTAACCACGATTTGCGGTATCAAATACCATTAATTCACTGATCAATAACTAATTGAATCATCAATAATCCATATTTAGCCTATCAATAAACGCCAAATAACCCGCCAATAACCACTAGTTGACCTACCAAGCACCACCCCGAACTGGTTGTTGGTGCAGGTTCACCTGACGCTGGGGGACGGTCGGGTGCTCACCGGGTGTCGGGGCAGGACCGACGACGACGACGACCAGGAGAACAACAGCCGACACGGCAGCGGCACCGACAAGTCGGGCGGCGCTGATGTGAGTTTTGGGGCTGGTGCAGAGAGAGGTTATTTTAATTCAGTGTCCACCTCAGCGCCAGCGGGGCATTTGTACTCTAGTGCCGACCACTCCTGTTCAGTGTCCACCTCAGCGCCCGTGGGGCATTTGTACTCTAGTGCCGACCACTCCTGTTCAGTGCCCGCCTCAGTGCCTCATTTGTACTCCAAAGTTTCACAAGCATCAGTTCAGCCATTTCTGAAATAGAATTAGTAGCCTATTAAGAACTTTTTAATTTAACTTTAAAATTCCCCAAACCCAAAAATTTATTCACTCTATAATGGCAAAATTGCAGTTCAAATTTCGCTAGTGTTAGTTCAGCCGTTTTGAAATAAAATTAGTATTTATAACTTTTTAAATTCAACTCTGAGTTCACCCAAACCTAAAAATTTATTCACTTTTAAACGGAAAAATCTATTCAAATTTCACGAGTGTCAAGTCAGTTCAGCCGTTTTGAAATAGAATTTGTATAATAATTAATATTATTTCATTCACTCGTTTTTAATAATTACAATTCCTTATCTTCAGAAGGGCTGATAAAATCAGACAATTGTATTCTGAAATCGAGGTAGGCTTCAAATATCAACACACACAGACACTCATTCTAGAATACAATATAGTTTATTTCTTAGTTTAATTTATTTACATCACGAATCAAAGGTGGTAACTGCCTCCTTACGTTGCAGATGTGCGTGGTGTGCCTTGAAGAGTACCGACCTCTTCAGGAGTTGCGGGTGCTGCCCTGCAGACACGAGTTCCACAGGAGCTGCGTTGACCCATGGCTGCTGCAGCACAGAACTTGTCCTTTGTGTAACTACAATATCGTCGGTCAGTGCTTACAGCTATGGTCTTAAGCGTAAAATTATAACAGTGCTAATATTTGGGTGGTATATAAATATTTCGTTCACCATTTGATTTTATTAGCGTGCTCTGAAGCTAGGGTTTTTCGCAGATTGCTGCTACGAGAATACACCTGCTCCTACCAGCACCACGGTCGCTCCAGAATCCGATCCAATTTCTTCTCCCCCTCTCTACCCTGGCCGTCCTTCCCTTCTTCCCCATCCTCCTGCCCCCCTCAGGGTATTTATGCCAAATTCGGGCTCTCCTGACGGGCGTTACGTAGTTCCTCACCTTCTGCATTCTCCTGGTGGTGGAGGTGCTCCCACATCTCCACATCCAGCACCTTCCAGTAGGCCATTCCCAGTAAGCTCATCGACAAGGAGCTGTACTCAAGCTGGGTGCTCTCATGACCCATACGGACTGCTTATGTACAACCAACTGGCGCCTTCGCCGTCCAGCCCACCACCAAGATATTCCCATGCCTTTCTCGCCCCAAGCTCAGTGTCCACCGAACCTCACAGTCCTCCTCCAAGTTACTCCCCATATTCATCTCCATATTCCTCCCTCTCTGGCTATCAAAGATGTAATGCTCCAAATTTTAGCATATCTGCCGGTCACTTATACGAGTCAGACCCTCGCAACGGTCCCATTAGAGGGGCAAGTGGTTTGGTGAACCGCGTTCGAAGATCTTTGGAGGTTGTCGGATCGGCAGACGCTGCCGCGAATCTAGAGGACAGAAATGAACCTGCGGATGCGTTCCCCCGCAGCGACAGGAATGAAGCGGAATTGAGGTACCCGCCGGGTAAATTTCTGCGGCACAGTCATTCCTCGAGCGAGAACGGCTTCTGTCCCGCCACGTATGCTCCTATGCGCCCAGGCAGCGTCAGCATACATCCGTCTTCGAGCGCACCTTCTGCTGCACGAGTTTCGACGTCGCCCTCGTCTGCCAGACCAGGAGTCCTGCACCAGAACTTAGGATCTTCTTCTCAAGCTCTGGAGACGTGCCTCATGTACCCTCGAGCAGGATTACCTTCGTATAATTGGCCTTACTGGCTCAACGGGGCTACTTTGAGGACAGTTCCTCAAGGGTCGAGCAGTGAAGAAGCCGAACACCAAATGATGGTGAGATTTTGTATCACGATTGTTCGATTGTTGATGGATGTAGTTCAGTTTTGGTGCCAAGCAATCATTCTAATTCTGCAGTTTATATGAATTTCACTCTTTCTTTATATGAAGAATGTGGCTTACCGGTCTTGGCGGATTTCGCAATTGATCATGTTTCCTGGAATTGAGAGAGTTGAGCAAGTGAAGAAAAATGCCAAAGCGAGCAAAGGAGTGATTGTGTGATCACATTTAATTATTTGCATGGAAAGTAAATGACAATCGTTTTACTCGCCTTAAATGCTTCATAAACCTTTGTGTGTGGTGTTTTCCAGAGTGTGGAGGTGCAGCATCACAGTGAGGGCAACAGGAGGGTGGATTGCCGAGGCCTTCACCGCCGCATCGAGCTCCCGGGGGCCGAATGCGTGGACGTCCAAGGACGAGATGCAAATTTTAGAGCACAAATGAGCTGCGAGGAAGAACTGCTAAACAATGATGGCGGGAAAGCCTCTGATACCTTAGAAAAGAATAATTATAGTGATTGTGTTTCTAATAACTTAAGTTGTAATAATGTAGTTGTAAATCAATCAATCAGTGCAAACGTAGATAGCGTTCGTATGGAACAGAGTCGTAAAATGTCCTTGCCAAGTAATATTAGTAGCGAAACGCTGGAGAGTACTTCAAATCAGCCAACAGACAGTATCAATACCAATAATTTTAATTCGAGTAGCATCAGGAACGATATGCAGCAACAGTTATGTACAGGTGAGTCAATACAAGTTAGTGCAGCTCACGGGTCTAGTTCTACTGATGGCAAAACAACCGATTGCGACCTAGCTGCAGATGATAGGGGTCAACATATTTCATTAGAGGAAACCACCTGTGACATCTACAGAAGAAGTAGCTTAGGAGGACTAGAAAGCCGATTATATGTTATCGGAGAAAGTCATGCCAATCAAGAAGGAGTGGTTCAGAACTCCCAACTCATTGGCAGGTCATCAAAACAACAGATACGACAACAACGATCTTTACAATACGATTTAGATTTAAACCAGCCCGGTGGTCTTGAACAGCGCGGCGTGATTCAGCAAAATTGTGCTGCAATTAGGTGCAGTCCAGAACAACAGAGAAACTTCTTCGGTAGAAATCAAGACTTTACTAATTCCCGGCAGCTTTTTCACGGGCCTCTTCCTACTCAACCGGTCAGTAGCAAGCAACTCGAACCATTTTTGTCAGCCCTTGAGGCAGTTAGGAGTTCAGCGAACACCATGGGTTATTGCAGAGGAAATCAGTGGCTCCTCGGAGGAAACTTTTTGCAACGAAATTCCGAGGATTGTTCCGGTTTACCTGTACTCGCTCACAATGATCGGCTACGATCAAAGTTCGATCATCAATATTCTGGTGCACTGGGTATTGAAGAAAAGTATCCTCACAGTAGAGTGGATGCTTCTGTTAGTGATGAGCCATGCAGATTTTCTCCGAATTCGTCGGAAAGAATTCCATTGGCAGGAGGCTTTGGATCCTCTAAAGGCATTGGACACAGACGACAAGCTAGCACTAATTCCTTTCCCAACAATTATTCATACGTTCCAGCTTCGTGCAGCGCTTATTTACCGGGGCAAAGACCGTCCTCTTCGGCCAGCAATACGACGCTTGATTCATCTGACGCTAGTCTAGAAACCGTTATCGCAGCAGATTCTTCTAATGGCGCTGATCAACGCCTCCTAGTCCCGGAAACTTCTTCGGGCGTTTCGGAAATTTTCGCAGGCCGCATGAGTGAAAAACAGAAAAATAATACTTCAGCTATGTCAATGGATTCTGTTGAAGACACGGATTCTATTACAGGTTCCGGATTTCCTTCTGAGCGAGTGTATGCTTTTGATACCAGCAGTTTGCATGGTTATGAGAATGTGGATCCAAGTGGGAGCCCTGTTCAAATTTCTTCTCCGCAAGGAGACCATGTCTGTGAAGCTTTCCCTGTGAATGATTACTCAGATGAATGCGCAAGTGAATCGCTCCCGGGAAATAATCCGACCGCATCTGATGAGGAACTGGTGGAAGATGGAACAGCTAAACCATCAGAAACCGGCAAATTTCTTGTTAGTGACGGAAACGAAAAAAATGAAACCAAAGATGAAGTCATCAATGACCAACAGCTTGATGCGGAGGCAGACTTAGACAAGTCAGGCTAATATACTATACCCTCTTATTGTTAAGAAATGCCGTAGCCTCAATATAAATAAGTCATTACTTTGTGTCTCATTAATAGTTTACTTCTAATAGAATAAGGACCTTATGTTGGAGGTTGAACTTGGAAAAATTGATACTTACCACCAATGATTGATAACATGCAATGAAGTTTCTATCGCTTTTGTTTGACGATTGTTTCAGGAGAGCTAAAGTTTCACTCATACCATACGTTTGCTTGAGAAGTAAAATCAATGCCGCAATACTATCATAATCTAGGAGGTGTCGTACGATTCGTACATAGGTTGTACAATGTTAAGCACCACAAAACGACTCTATCGTGATCATGAAGTAAGAGGTGGTACTTATTCATAATTGTATACAATGTTCTTGTACACAAACCACGCGTTTCCGCAAGTCGTCAACTGGTTGCCGTCATATCGTGAAATTGCACTTTTTCGTATCTATTCTAACTTTCATAATATTTATTGGTTATTTATTCATTGTCTGATTCAATTAATTGCTTAGATAGATGCTTCTATTTTCTTCTATGTATGCATTTTTAACAGGTAGAGCTATCATAGGAGAAGGGTCTGTAAAAAAGGAATACGGCTCTGAAAATTTTATATCCATACTTTATCAACAATTTTAACTGCCTTAAATTATTCATGAAACTTCTCTAATCGAATGAACTGGTGCTCTCATGTGACACGTTAAGAAAATGCATCAAATGAGGCGGGAAATTTTTCAATCATCTGAAATAACATCGTGCAGCTTGGAGCACCTCCCTTGAATGATGTCAACCTGTCCGCCCTGGGTTTTCAAAAGCAATTAAATGGGCTGCAGTGTTTTCCACTGGCTTCGTTCGTAGATAATTCGTCTGGACGAATATAAACGTCATGGTTTGTTTTCAGTTGCCGCCTAAAACGTTTTTAATTGTTCCATGTAAAATGAAGATAGTTATAACCCGCCGTATATTCACAACAACTTCTTTGAATTCAGGGCTATGATTTACAATAAAATATCCTTCAGAATTGCGTGTTCAGATGCTAAAAAATCTAATTCATTAAAGTAAACATGAACTAGCTTTTAAAAGAATATTTATGAACTTATCGACATGAATAAAATTTGATATGAAATGATTTTATCTGCCTTATAGATAGGGCAGCAATTCTGAAAGTTTTTTTTCTAAAGTTGACATTCTTTTATTAGCAAATATCTGATAGGCCTAACTGCTAATATATTCAGATGTGCATAGTGTCATAGAAATGACATGAGTGATTATAAAATTTGCAACATGCAATTACTTTGAGCTTAGCTTTGCTAAAATAAATTTTCTTTTTACATCAAGTCATTTCAATATTAATTATTTCACTTTATGCAAGCATTGACAGGAAATTTTTATCATGAACATCGTCTGAATGTGGTACTTCGAACGACTCTAATCAAGGTACGAACGATACCTACGGCACTTTTCGAATTTTAATAACAGGTTTTTCACGCATTCTTTGTCAAATCAAAATCGATCTCGAACAAGTCATAAATGAAGCTCTTTATTCCCAATGCGCTCGTGCAAGCGTTTAAAAAAATATTTTATGCGTTTTCAGGTTAATTTCGGAATTGAAGAAACGTTAGTTAGTTAGACGTGTAAAGGTGGCTAAAGATTAGCGTTTAGCGCGTTACATGTAAACAAAGAAGTCATGGCTTTCTTAGATATTCCGTTAGTTCGGAATGTTTAATCTATTCAGTAATCCGATATGTAGTATGCACCGTCGTCCGCCGTTGGTTTTTACAGACTCTCAGAGACTCGGACTGTGACTGTCAGTGCGCCGCTAACCGCAGTTTAAGGAGCATGTCGTCTACCGCAGCAAGTATCATCATGGCCGTGAATGTTCTTTTATGTTTTGTGTTTGGATTGGCCTTCGGAATTGAAGAATCTTCTTTGAAAAATGTACACCAAGTTCATGTAGTAAGTATCATTCATTTTAGTTTTAAGAAGTTGAAATATTTTTTTGCTACTATTTAGTATTTATAGGCAGAGCTGGGCAGCGGCCAGCGCTACTTTGAAATGTAACGCCGCTACCGCTACATGCTCTAAATGTAGCGGGCGCTACTGCTACCGCTACATCCACTAGATTGTAACGGGCGCTATCGCTACCGCTACAGTAAAATGTAGCGCGCTACATTAGCGGTTAGCCGCTACAATGGTCAAAATTATTAGAAATCTCTTAATATTTATTGTTCTGCTATTGGGATTTACTCATAAGCATTTAATGATAATAAAACATTTTTAAAGTATATCAATGCAACTTTATTGCAATTAACCTAACCGAACTAGTAGGTTTACCCCCAGGGAACCCCATATTTTTATATGATACAGTAAATAAAAGTTACAGTTATTTTTATGTTTTACCTTCCCTACATGGATGATGGATGTGAACTTTAATCTACCAATCTAAGAAATTATCACTACATGCTCTATATGTAGCGGGCACTACCGCTACATTGCCTTGAATGTAGAGCCGCTACCGCTACCGCTACTGAAAATGTAGCGGCCGCAACATGTAGCGCGCTACTGCCCACCTCTGTTTATAGGTAGTTGTAACTTGTACCATTGGCATTAGTGTTAGCGTTACCGCCCTAGTAGTGACTAGTAGTCTAGTACTAGTACCTACCCTACCCTACCGTAGCCTACCAGCATGAGCTGCCGTGAACATGCGGTTGGTGCTGACTGCTGAGTGAAGTAAATAAATAACTAAAGATGGTACAATGTCAAGTTCTCAACATGACAGCATTGAAGACTGAAATCAGTACGGTATAGGAATAATCTTTTTATTTTGTTGCTCTCCTCTAATATCATATTATTATGGTAGATATGAAATAATTGAAATCTAATTTTCTAAAAGTCTAAAGACTTTAGGAGTTTTGGTTGAATAGAAAAAAACAGTTTTTGACATGTCATTTCATGAAATTTTGAACTTTTTGCGTTCATGTACCACCATACCAATAAGGTACATGGCACCAACCTGGCGCACCTTCCTGCCTCATTCTCATTCTGTAAAATTTGGCTGATATGACGGTATGACCTGCAAGAAAATGAAACAAAAATTAAAATGCCAGTACTTAGAATTGATTTCAATTAATTTTATGAACCTTGGTCATGCCTAATGTCTTTGGTAAAAAAACAGAAAAAATCATTTAGGTATTGCCTGTGACTTTTAAAACATATATCTCAGTACTCAGTGCAGCAAGTGACGGAGAGCGCATTTTCTCATTGAGGAAAACGTGGTCACGGTCTCACGGACAGATGGGCATTGGGCGGACATGACGAGCACAATAGCGCCTTTTTTCCATAAATGAGAAAAGGCGCTAAAAATAAACATGAATAATTTTTTTCTCCTAAAATCCATTCAAAATATTTATCACTTAGATAAATGTACAGTACAGTCAGTACTGTGTTAGGTGCATCCATACTGCCTTCATAATTCTAAAAATACTCACTCACAAACTCATAAAGAAATCCCATTACTTCAATTTTCCTAGTGGTTGCTATTTATTGACAATAAATTTCTTGCAACTCATCAAATTGAAGATGTGTTTTTGAGTTGCATTATTGAAGATTCATGCAAAATAATACCTATATCTTAATTTGTGCAATGAAAATCAAGTCAGGTACACAGTATATGAATTGCAAGCATACATACTTATGACTTGAATTTGTTCATTTGTGAAATGATTATATAGGTGTTCAGGGCAACACATGGATCAACTGTTCACATAGCTTAGGCCTTTAGTAGCAATTACTATTTACTAGTTTTTTTTATGTTACAACTTTTGTCAGTATTTGAAGTTTTGAACTTTAATTTCCCAAGTGTCCACTCAACTCCAAATTGTTTTTATTCAAACATGGGTGAAAAATTTCACTTTAAAAAAATATACTTTATTGCTGCTATTGTGTCATTTAGTTCTTCTATTCTCAAAGAGAACTTCAAGTACAAAATTATTGCTAGCCCTTGCAATGCTGCCATCTTGTACAATTGCATTAAGATAATAAATGACCAAAGAAACAATGTATGACAATTTAGATTTTCGTATTTTTTTTTTCAAAGAATAACCTTGTTTTTACATGACTCCTCTTCTACAGCAATAAATCTTTTCTTTTACGATTCGTTTACAGATCATGATGCTTACCTTTGATTTCAGCTGTCATTTGAGTCAAGTTATGTCCCTCAAGCAGTCTTTAACAATTTCATGCAATCCAAACTGAAAATTTATTTGTTGCAATCAGTAAATAATGTAGAATTGGCAAAAACACAATGCACTTTGGCCTTGGTTCAGTTTCTTGCTTGTATTATCCTTGACTGCAATGAAGTATTCAGTACATTGAAACATCTGCCTGCCGATGCTGCTCTCAATTTTTCAGTGCTGTGTAGGCTGCAGTTTCCTCTTCAATCCATTGTGACCTAACGTGTATTTATTTCTCTGTTATTCTCGTGGGCGAAGAGCAAAATAACCTGGGTGCTTTCAAAGCGAGATTTGTTTCTTATGTTTGATGCTGTTTAATGTCACGCTACCGTCGATATCGCGCGAAAAAAAATGCAAAAAATAAATCCGTGCACCGCTACAGACGCAACAGCGTCATCACGCATGCTCGCCTTGTGCAATGCCAAAGCTCGTGGCCCGATGTGGCGCACGCACACTCGGAAAAAATGATGTCTCATATTGTCCAAATAGTGCCATACTTTCTGCACGTCGCTTTGATACACCCTTACGACAGGCTAAACTGGATCAGGATAACCCACACAACGGCTAAAAGAGATCGCTATTTGGACAAGATCTCACTCATTTCTCCTAGTGTGCTGCGTTTCTTTATTTAATTTTAACGAGCGCCTGTCTAGCACGTCGCTACTGCGTGCGCTACCGCTGCTAATGACAGCGCGTTTGTTTCTTGAGTGTCCGGAAGTTACACAAGCTGTCAGTGACACAGTGGACTCATAGCTAACTAGGTCTAGTGGTAAACACATGAGCATTTGAATCCACAAACTACTCACGGACATGAGCAAACTCAGAAAAATAATTGAGACTTTGTCCAAATAGCGATGTAATTTTGCCTATAGTGGATCATTCGGACCTATTTTGGCCCGATATCAGTGTTATGTGCGGAAATTCTCTCTTTGGGCTACATGACCCATCCCATTTTTTGAGTGCAGTTGAGCAAGAGGCTTGAAATTTGTGTAGTCTATGTTGCTTTAAAATTTTAAGCTGTTTTCCGAAACTACGGGATTCGTTGGTACCAGCTTTTTCATGTATTGTTATGTTGAATATTTTTTATTCTCCGTCTTCTCGCTTAGCTCCTTAACAAACGCGCTAACCGAACTACCTTTTATGATCAGTGTTCAAAAACAATATGGTTTAATATTTTATAAATATATGGTTCAAAATTTCATGGAAGTTCACAAACACTAATGTTGGTAAAGTAAATGATAGCTTTCGCTTGCCAAGGTCAGAAAAAGACCTGCAGTGCCTTAATTCCAACTACGTAGGTTGTGAGTTTGTTTTGCTGACGCATTTAGCTCGATAGCCGAGCCGGGGCCATGGTTACGCGCTTGCTTCCGTGGGCGTATTAGTGAATTGCTCTTTATATCCAATTATAATATTGAAACTATTGTACTGTAGTTATTTGTAATGCTAATTTCTTACACATGATCCACCATTGCTGGTATTTGATGCCACTAGTTTGCATGATCGATTCGTCTTATTTTTGCTAATCGCACGAAGTGACAGTCGCTGACAACGGCTTTGTCCTAATGCATGGGATTTCCGATCGATTATTTTAAGAGTTTTAATTAAAGTTCAAATATTCTACTCCTAGCCGGAATTTGACGTTCTTGTGGGTCATCCTGACCCAGTTTGGCCCGGCTAAAGGTACCGAGCCAAACTTAGTATATACGTGCTATACGACCTCTCTCCGCTCGTGCTGTGGATAATGATATGTGTCACTATATGGACAATATTACCCATTAATTTTCTGAGTGTGATGATATACTCTTGACACAGCTGTTCCGACACGGGGACCGCGCCCCCGTCTCGTCCTTCCCCCTCGCCCCCCACAACTCCGAGTCTCTGTGGCCCAATGGCTTCGCCCAACTCACCAAGGTGAGTAAAAATTGTCATTTATTATAGATTATTGATTGAACTAAAGTATGAGGTTAAAAGTAAGATGGACAACTGATTTAAGTACCTATGCTTAGTATGCTTAGACAATGTTGAAATGATTGAAACTAGGATGTGGCACCGAAGATAATTATAGATAATGAATTGATTGAACTAGTGTATAAGGGGTCAAACGTAAGATGTTCAAGTGATTGAACCATGTTGAAAATTGAACTAGCGTATATGCCAAATGCTTTTAAAAGATATTTGATTAATTGAACTAGTGTATTTTGGGCTAAATATAATCGGATGATATTAACTTGATTGAATTTATTTAATAATAGAATGTTTTAATATGTGGGAGTTCTTCTGGCTGAAGTATTAAACCCGCCCCATGCACTTGGTGAATTAAATTGTCTCGTCGGAATATAATCGGACACGTCTACTGTAATGGACTCATAACTTACCATTACATAAATTTATATTTCCTTCAAAACAAATTTTTTTCTATCTTACTTATCCGAGTCACATCCAAGCCTTACTAGACATATCAGACTAACCATAAGACTTATACTTAATTCTGTAAATAGTCTGTATCCACCTGAGGTTTTTCCAATCATATTAGAACGGATCAAAGCGACGTAGTTTTGTCACGAGTTAGTCAGGTTGCTTCATAAAGTTGTATTCTTTTTATTGTACAATATTCTCTACGTTCAAGTTATTAATTCTTGTACGTGACCGTCGAGCGGCACGTGAGGTAAGCTATAAGTAGAATGTAAAAAATCTCGTTATTTTTTTTTTTAACTCACGCGTATCTTATCGATCCTTGGCAGTGGAAACTGTCGTAGTAAACCTGAAAGCAAGGAAAAATAAATAGTGAATGGTATATGTAATGGAAGTAAATCTTAGTAAAACTCTCTGATTTTTCGGTCACCTATAAACTTTCCGCCTTTGGGACTGAGCTGCTGCCAGTTTACTGAAAAGTATACGGTAACCCATGACTGCTTCAACTACAGAATCTGGGCCGTCACGAATAATATTTCTAAATAGTCGTGAATCATTTTGGAAATGTTAATTTCCTTCATCAATTAAGTTTCGTACAACATATAAACCTTCACACAGTCTGGTCTGCAGCGCCAACAAGCCCTCGGGCGATGGTTCAGGAAGCGATACGACCGCTTGTTATCTCGACACTGGAACGCATCGCAGATATCGGTGACCAGCACATCAGTAGACCGAACCCTGAACTCTGCTCAGGCCAACCTGCAGGGCCTCTACGCTGACATGGACCCTGCCAGACGCTTCGATGACACACTCAACTGGAGTCCTGTTCCTGTCAGGACTACACCCATGGCTGAGGATCGGGTAGGGGATTATTGGATGTATTTATGCCAATTCTCTGAATATATACAAACATTAAATATTCTCATTGCAAGAGTATTCAGAATATTGGTCAATCGCAGTATTTTAGGTACTGTTATGAGTGAATTCCTATACGACAAAGTGATCTGGCGATTCCCTATTATTTTCAAAATCATCGTATCTTTCTCGATCGTGTGAGCAATTCCCTTGATTTGTTTGTTGTAAGAGAAGGAATTTATTCACATTTTGAAATTTTTTATTACGGCGCTGAGGAGCTCGAGCAATAGTAGTGCTTTTACTAATGATTATTCCCCGTTTTTCGTTTATTTCGCTGCGGGTCATTTTTTCAGTGCTGTTATACACTTCATTTTTATTTGTTCAAATGCTTCAATTTCAACGCGGGTTATTTTTACTGTGCGGTGGTAGGTACTTATACCGTGAATGCCTGGAAGGTCTTCTGTAATATACGTCCTCGAAGAATTAGGCTTGGTTCACTCCATACTGCCCGGCACGACCCAGTCCAATATTCTTCAATGCATTTCTATAAAAACATTCACACCAGCCGTGCAAGGCACCTGACAAAAAATATTTGGACCGGATCGTGACTGCAGCGTTGCCAACATTTTTGTGCCGAGTATATCAGATTGCAAGCTCAATATATCATACTTTAGCAAATATATCAGATTAAGAATATCCATACCAGACACAATCTTAACATACCAGATTAGTTGAATCTGGTATAGAAATATACCAGTTGGCAACGCTAACTGACTGGCATGGCACGTGATACGATAGGAACTGAAGTGCGGACGTCACGTGACCGGACTGAAAATGTGAATGCTCCTGGCAGTGAACGAACCGTGACTAGCATACGTATGCCAAGCAGTACCTATGGTATGCACCAAGCCTTAGTCTATCCGTTTTCAGATATTATCTTCTCGCGTTATTCCACTAATCCATTCAAACCACTGATATTCAGTTATTGTTGATAATCACTATGATTGTTGTTCAGTTATAGTTGGACATTCTTTCCTTGCAGAATCTCTTTGTAGAATAATAATAGCTGTTCAGTTATGATTGGTCATCACCATGACTGTTTTTCAGTTGTAGTTATTGATCATGACCGCCATGATTGTTGTTCAGTTGCAGTTATTGACCATCATCGTCTTGATTGTTGTTCAGTTGCAGTTATTGACCATCATCGTCTTGATTGTTGTTCAGTNATGATTGTCATTGTCCAGCTGCTGTACCTGGACGACTGGTGCCCCCGTATCCCGAAGGAGGTTGAGCGTCTGAACGATGACCCTGTCGTAGCCGCCCTCACAGCGCAGTGCGCTCCCCTCTTCAAGCTCCTCACAGAGAGGCTCGGCGAGACCGTCGAGTCCATCGAGCAAGTCGAGTTCGCGCACGACTACTTCCAGATACTCGTACGTTATTCTTCTTAATGCAGAAATTACATTCATATATTTCATATAGTATATATTAAATTAATAGCAGAACTTACATTCATGTATTTCATATTTGTTTACACTCGTGCGATTGATGACCAGAGAATTCGTTGGTTTATATTATCAGGGAGTGGAATATATTTTATATATTTCAAAAATATTTCATATTGTATATATTAAATTAATAACATCTTTAATACATGCTATGTTCCATTCGAATTGAAACATTCGAAATGTTAGCTAAATTCCTATTTTTTATTCTGACTAATATCATCATTGGTCCCATTAACTGGAGCGTATTTATTGAAGTGGCATTGAATCGATTAACCCGACCAGACTGTGCTTGTGTACTACCCTATGACCCGTCAGCTGCACAAGGGTTCTAACTGCCTTTACTGCATTTAATTTATTAAACATGATGGTTTTACTTTATGGATTTGACCTAAATAGATGTCAGGTAATAGACTGTACTTATGTAACCCATCACCCTACAGCTGGACAATCTTCACGCGATGCTTTTCACCGGATTTACTTAACTGACGATTTATTTTACTATGGAGCTAATCTAAATAATTGTCATGTAATAGACTGTACTCATGTACCCTATGACCCTACAGCTGGACAACGGGTACGCGCTGCTTTTCACCGGATTTAGTTAACTGAAGATTTATTTTACAATGGAGCTAATCTAAATAATTGTCATGTAATAGACTGTACTCATGTACCCTATGACCCTACAGCTGGACAACGGGTACGCGCTGCTTTTCACCGGATTTAGTTAACTGAAGATTTATTTTACAATGGAGCTAATCTAAATAATTGTCATGTAATAGACTGTACTCATGTACCCTATGACCCTACAGCTGGACAACGGGTACGCGCTGCTTTTCACCGGATTTAGTTAACTGAAGATTTATTTTACAATGGAGCTAATCTAAATAATTGTCATGTAATAGACTGTACTCATGTACCCTATGACCCTACAGCTGGACAACGGGTACGCGCTGCTTTTCACCGGATTTAGTTAACTGAAGATTTATTTTACAATGGAGCTAATCTAAATAATTGTCATGTAATAGACTGTACTCATGTACCCTATGACCCTACAGCTGGACAACGGGTACGCGCTGCTTTTCACCGGATTTAGTTAACTGAAGATTTATTTTACAATGGAGCTAATCTAAATAATTGTCATGTAATAGACTGTACTCATGTACCCTATGNGTGTACGCGTGTGGATTGTTGTATTCATCGCGTGTGGATTGTTGTGTCGCGTGTGGATTGTTGTATTCATCGCGTGTGGATTGTAGTGTGTCGCGTGCGGATTGTTTGTCGCGTGTAGATTGTAGTGTGTCTATGTGATTTTTCACGTGTATGTGTGATGTATCGCGACAAAGAAGTGCACGGCCTGATACCGTGTCTGTATGCACTCTAGTGTACAAACAAACGTCGTCGGCGAATACTCATGTTTTTGCACATGCGTGCGCTCACAGCTGTTATCATACTCTGTATATATCGTATTTATTCACGCCATGAGAGTCCGGTTCCAGTAACGTTCTTGATTATAACTTGAAAGTTGAAGGAAAACAATTATTTCTTGAAAAAATGATTTATTTGGCTAGCTTATGAGTATACGTACGTATACAGTCTTTAGGGATGAGAATTCGAAGAGGCAAGAGGGTAATAAATTCTATTTCCACGTTACAGGTCCGTTACTCAGGAAGATCGTGGATGACATGAAAGTTAAATTGACCAACGCTGAAAACCTACCGAACCGAAGCATCGCACAGAAACACACGAGCGGTGAGAGCGAGCAAACCTCCTCGACTGCAAATTTCTTCATGTACAGCGGCCACGACACGACAGTCGCTGCCAACCTGCAGGCCCTCGGCGTGTACAACCATGAGAACCCACCGTATGCTGCCACCGTCATCTACGAGCTTCATGTGGTGCAGGGCAAAGCTTATGTGCAGGTCAGTTTGGTGATGACTTCGGTTCTTCTAATCGCGTGAACCGTGAAAATGTTTTTATTTATTGGCTTGTCAAATGTGCACCCCATTTATTGGCTCGTCAAATATTCACCCCATTTTTTGACTTATCAAATATATATGTATTCCTGCTCGTTTTTCTTTCACATTTCAAATAAATGACCCTAAGGCCGAGATTAATTCTGTGAGATTTTGAAGTTATTTAAAAGAGGTACCTATATTTCGTGGCATGAATAAACTTCATGTATGAAGTAAATGCGTTGTATATTTTCCTCACTATGCATATATTTCATGCATGTAATGTAGAAAGATACGTAAACCAGTGTTGAGTCGTCAAAAAATTACAATTTTGCTCTATGTGTGGTGCTTATCCGGGGCGTTAACTTCGGAATATTGTGTATATCTTTTGTGGAGACTTTGAACTGTAATGCAGATCTTTTGTGTGGGCCTCTACTTGCATTGTTATTGTGGAATTTTACGATAATCGCTCGTATTGCAGGTTCTGTACCACAACGAGTCGAGCAGCACTCACTTGCTGACGCTGCCAGACTGCGACGCTCTCTGCCCCATCGACAAGTTCGAGTCGCTGCTGGCGCCAGTCCTCCCCACCGACCTCGAGAAGGAGTGTCAAGTCCCTGGCCAAGAGGTGGCCGACACCCACGACAGCGTCATGGCCGGGCTTGCTAATCTTCTATCTTACGGAGTCACAGGTAGGAGATGATACTATTGTCGTGAAAGTTTGGACTTTTTATTACAGCTTGGGCGTTTCTACGGAATCCGTATTCTTCGTAAATTTTTTCGGATAATTTTTCTTGGCAAATTCTTTTTAGGCTATTTATTACTCTTAACCGCCGGTTTTTTAGTTGTTAAATTTTTCTGAAATTTTTTCGAGTCGATTTGTTTCAGCCAATTACTTGTATTCAATCATTGTTCGTAAGTATTTTCAACCAATGATTGGCAGCACATTCTCCTCAGCAATTTTTTCGGCCGCTCGTATACAGCCTATTTAGTAGACACTTATTTTCAGTTCCTTCTTTCCCGACGATTCTTTGAAGACTTCTTTTTTTGGCGGTTTCCTCTAACATAAATAAGGCTCGTGTTGCTTGTGTAAGGTTCAGGGATAAAGGTTGCGTCCAACTATGATGTTAACTCTGATATCATCTTGTACTGATTAGTATTATTAGCGTTGACAACATCATCGTGTATGATGATGTAACAGTTTGTCGAAAACACACGTACCGAAACTAGACTTCAGCCGCGCTGTGCTCTCTAATCCTGCGCAAATTCGATATAGTGCAAACTGTGGCTCAAGGAAAATCTATTAAATTCCTCTTTCAAGAATAATCTTTCACATTTAATCGCGCGTAATCCGAATCTAAATCGGTTTGTGCGTTAGTTGAAAGGTTAGCGGCTCGATTTTACCCCTTAGTTGTGTATTAAATCATTCCAAGCTATATTGAAGAATAACTGCGAATATGCGGGATGTTTGCTAAGAATTATTCGATAATTTTGGTTTGTGAACCAAACCGATCGAGGAAATCTAGGCTATAAAAATGATAGCACTCAGACAGGATATAAAAGAAAAGCTAGAATATAAAAATGATAACAGGATATAAAAGGAAATCTAGGATATAAAAATTATAACAGCTGACGGAGGTTGTATTTGTGGTGCAGGAGGAGGGATGCTCTTCTTGAGGTAGCTGAGCAGCTCCAAGTACTTCACGAAGTCTTGTCAGTATCGAATTTCTAACACGTGTGATAATAATAATAATAATTAGTCTTCGTGTGAGGATAACCTTCCTGTTGTGCATTTTGTTTGCAGTAGTCTCTACTCGCATTTGCTTCAGCGGTTGTAACTTGTTTTATTGGCTTGAATTTAGCGTAGTTAACGTTTCTTCTACTGAATTGAATGAATGTCTCGTTAACCGAAATTTTTTAAGTATGTACGGCATCTGAAAATTGTTAGCTCAGCCGTAAAAGTCTGCAGAGTAGTCAGCTTGAATTTCGATTCCCCTAAAACCTTTGCAAATAATTATATTTAAAATAAATTTTGAACAAACCATCTCTGCTTAATTCAACCGCTGGCAAGTTAAACAGTCGCATTCAACCTTTTATTCTTACTTCCTATTAAAATACCTATACTTTCTCAATTGATTACAGATAACTTCAAATAAATCTATTTAACGATTTAACTAATTATTGTTCGAGTGATCTCACAACTGATCAGAAATCAATCAAATCATCGTATTGCTTTTTTCACTATTTTAACTTGTTTTTGTTACGTGAAATTATTTTTGTTTGTCTGTAAATATTTAATTTTTTGTGTTTTAACTATCATAGTATTAACGCAGTTTGAGTTTGTTTGATTCGTGTAATATAGAATTGACTTCTTCAACATTTTACCTTCTCTGACATTTGCTTTATGTTTTACCATCGAAAGGGTTTGTGCCTCAAGTGACACCGCAGTGTCGTTGCTGTTATTATTTCATAGTGATAATAATAATAATAGTTAGTCTTCGTTTGAGGATAACCTGCCTGTTGTGCGTTTTGTTTGCAGTGGTCTCAACTCGCATACGCTTCAGCGGTTGTAACTTGTTTTTTTTTACTTGAATTTAGCGTAGTTAACGTCTCTTCTACTGAATTGAATGGATGTCCCGTTAAAAGTAATTTTTTTCAAGTATGTGCGACATCTGAAAATTGTTAGCTCAGCAGTAGAAGTCTGCAGAGCAGTCAGCTTAAATTTCTATTCCCCTAAACACTTTTTATATAATTATATTTAATATCAATTTTGACTAAGCCATCGCTGCTTAATTCACCCGTGGGCAAGTGAATCAGCCACATTCAACCATTTATTATTACTTCCTATGAAAAAATAACGTCTTAATTGATTACAAATAATCTATAAATCTATTTTAAAATTTTACTGGTTATTGTTTGAGTGATCTTCTTGCTTACACCTGATCAGAAATCATCGTACTGCTTTTTTTTCACTATAACTTGTTTTTGTTATGTGAAATTATTCTTGTTCAGCTGTAAATTATAAAGTTTTTTTTTAGTTCCTCTTCTTATTACTACGTTAGTAGTGATAATATTTAATATTTTGTGTGCTAACTATCATGGAATTAACGCGGTTTGAGTTTGTTAATTTCATGTAAAATAGAATTGACTTCAAAATTTTACCTTTCCTGACCTTTGGTTTATGTTTTACTATCAAGCGGTTTTGTGCTTCAAGTGACACCGCAGTGTCGTTGCTGTTATTATTTCATATAATGTTTCACCATCATAAGCTTATACAACGAGCAGAGCAACGTACGTTTTCTGCTTTGAATACTGTTATCTCATTGGCAGTCGACTCTGCAAGGTGAGTGCTGTTGCTTTCATTTACCAGCTGTTGTTTAAAGAACACCGGTATTTACGAGCTGTTGTTTAAAAAATACTGGTATTTACCAGCTGTTGTCTAAAGAAAAACAATATTTTGTGTTACATCAGCAGATTTCCTCTTTTTCTAGGAGTTATTGAAATGTAATCTAACTATAGCTTGTCGTTTCAGTGTCAGCGGTGCTGCTGGTGCTGAACGCGCTGGTGTCTCTAACGCTGTTGTGTCTCGTGTGGTCCTGGAGACGACGCCTCAAGAACCTACAGGCTTACACCTTACTAGCGCAAGACACGTCGTGACTCGCTTCATCGGACCACGTCTTAGGTCCCGCATTTGTGGTCCCACGCTGTGCTTCGTCGTCCCTCCATTGCTGTGGTCCGATGTTCTGCCTCGTCACTCCTCGTTGCGGGTCCCGCATTTGTGATCCCAAGCTTTGCCTCGTGGTACCACGTCTGTGGTCCCGCGCGTGCGGTCCTCAGTTTCAGTAGTTGAAGGCAGCGAGTAGTACCTAGTATTAGTAGTGAAATTTTTAACGATTGCCTCTGCTTTCATCCATGACTAAAGAAATCTTAAGTGACAAAAACGTACCTGCCTAAATCGGCGAAAAATTGCATAATTATGTGCTTATTTGGTAATGATTAGCGGCGTAAATGAAGGGCGAAGGCAAAAACAATCAGGCACCTTCAGTTATTACTAGCCAATTATGAACATAATAAGGCTTTTAGCCAATAATGAAATGAGCATTTAATGTTGATATTTTAGGTAATGACTGAGCACATTCGCTTTCATAATTTTTTCGCATCCTTTGCTTTTTAAAATAAATGTCCGAGACTTTTTTTAAGTACTGAATGTTTATTTTCTTATGTGTTCATTTGTATTAATCATCGTGGGCGTTATCTCTCGACGCTCCCGTTACAGTCTCGATGAACTTGAAGTGTGGATTAGTCGTTCTGCACTACGATATTTATTTAATAAAAACAATTCCTTTTACCCCGCATTGATATATAGTAAGCGGTTAGAGTTAAAGAGTGTTTTTTACTTATAAAATCACACAAGTAACGGTCATAGTATACGAATAACACCCTGTTACTCAGACGTGAATTTAATTTTTCGAGACTACGCAGTGATTATTATTCTCGGGGTCTTTAAGGTAAAAAAAAAACGAATTCGTATGACAGTACGTAATTATTACTATACTGGCAGTCTTAGGAGAAATAGAACAAATTTGTGTGATAGTAAATTTATTTTTTTAATCCTGCATTACGTGATAGGTTCGTGTGCGTAAGGTTGTTCATCGCTGTGCCAAGGTTGTGCCCGCGAATTTTTTCGTGTTAGTCAATGTATAGTACTTAGTTTTTAATTAAAAATATATTGTCTCGGTGTTTATTTGAGTGTGTTTGTATGCGTAACTCAATGAATAGTGTTTAATATAATAAAAAAGTGTCTTTGCGACCTTGACACAAAAAAAATGGTGTATAAATCGTAAATGAAATTAGGTGTTTTTAAACATCCAAAGCTTTTATGGGGTTAAAAACTATCGTGAAAATGTCCTTATCAATATGGTCAGTACGAATATCTCGCATACTACACTGCTTTTACCATTTTAAATACAAGAATAAATGAGGGATAATCTCATTTGACTCGGCTAGGTCGTAATTCCATGATGTCATTCAACGAGGTTCAAGATTTTCCGAAGACTAACTTTTGAATTTAATTAGTTTTTTGCCAGGATATATATACTATCACAAGTATATATATCCGTGTGTGCGCATATATATACTGGCTCAAGTATATATATCCTTGTGTGCGCATATATATACTGGCACAGGAATTCTGAAGCTGCCAAAGCTCAGGAAAAATTTCTAAGCCATATTCATTTTCCGTGAATCAAAAGGCGCTTAGTTTTAGTTGTGTTGAACTTTACAGTTGAATCGCATGAATATTGTTTAAAACAATTGTTCACACGTGAACTAAAAGTAGTACTAAATGTCGTAAAAAGTTTCTTTCGTTGTTTCCTTCGTAGTTTCTTTCGCTGTAACGTAATCCAATGAACAAATTATTCACAACAGTGGCCGAATACACCTTGTCCGAATTCCGTACTTAGCTTGTCCTGTCTAGTCCGTACCTTCAAGGGGATTCGAATACTGGTTCCAGAGCAAATATTTTTTACGTACTATGTGTTATTTTTTATATCGTGTGTTTTTTCTGGATTTTTTTTTTTATTCATTTTAGTCTTGTTCGTACTGAACATTATAAATGCGTTTACTTATCGCAGAGCTGGAATGGTTTAATTTATGAGGATTGGTCTGGTTTATTTGTGTTTTCGACTGTTTTTAATGAAGTTTGAAATGTTTTTTTTTTATCATGCTTTGAATTCTTTGAATTCTATGCGTTGACTTCATTGTCTTGCGAATTTTTAAATCACGTGTTGGTTTTTTTAATTGGGGTATCGCACGTTTTATCTCCGATACAAATATTTCCGTGCTGTTTGTGATGGTCTGTGGTTACACTCAATAGCTCTACATAGTTGTGGGCAATCTGTATTGTATTTCATCTTCAGGAAATTCCATATAGTATGTCATCAGAAGGTTAAATTTCATTTTTAAGGCAATAGACCATATTTTCCGATGTTCGTTGAGACATTTGCAGCAGGCTTCGATTTGTGTGTTGCTGAACTAAAGTGAAATATAACTGCCAGGTATTCGTTTCGGGATATATATAATTAAAAGTTTGGCTATAATTATCTAAATTGCATAGCAAAGAAATCTTCGAATTGATAGATATGTAAATCAGATTTGATCATTTTTCGCGAACCTGAATTAAAATGTACGAAGATAGCACTAAAGTCTCGAGTTTGGTTAAGATTTTCTCGATACGAGTTTGTGGTTATAAGAGTTGCACGATAGTGAAAATCTGACGCGTTCTTGATCGTTAAGCTTCCTCTAGAACCTGCATTATGCGGAATATTGAGGAATTATGATGATATTTCGGAGTTCGCTCCTCGTGTCAATAAAGCCAGAGTGATTGTGAATTTTGTATCTTTTTTCTGGTTCCAATTATTATATTTATTTGCAATGATTTATTTTTATGAACAGAGAGCCCTGCTTAGACTGATTAACTCTAAACAATTAGATAATTGTGAGATGACATCCATCACATTAGTGTTTTGTATGAGGAATGTCATCTCAAGGAAGTGTTTTTTGCGGTTCAGATTAAGGTTTTGCTTTGTTTGGCCTGTTCGCTCTTGCATTGAATTTTACGCCATTTTTCCCAACACACCATTCTGTCCCAGCACACCATTTTTTCCCAGCACACCATTTTTTCCCCAGCATATTTTTCCAGCACAATATTTTTTCCCCAGCACATCATTTTGTCCCAGCACACCATTTTTTCCCCAGCATAATATTTTATCCCAGCACACAATTTCGTCCCAGCACAATATCTTTTTCCCCAGCACATCATTTTGTCCCAGCACACCATTTTTTTCCCAGCACACCATTTTTTTGTCCCAACACACCATTTTTTCCCAGCATAATATTTTGTCCCAGCGCTCCATTTTTTCCCAGCATAATATTTTGTCCCAACACACCTTTTTTCCCCAGCATAATATTTTGTCCCAACACACCATTTTTTCCCCAGCATAATATTGTGTCCCAGCACACCATTTTGTCCCAGCATAATATTTTGTCCCAACACACCTTTTTTCCCCAGCATAATATTTTGTCCCAGCACACCATTTTGTCCCAGCATAATATTTTGTCCCAGCACACCATTTTGTCCCAGCATAATATTTTGTCCCAGCACACCATTTTGTCCCAGCACACCATTTTGACCCAGCACACCATTTTGTCCCAGCATAATATTTTGTCCCAGCATAATATTTTATCCCAGCACACCATTTTGTCCCCAGCAATACAACGTCCGCGCACGCCATTAGTGTCCGTCGTACCTTTACAGTACGCGCGAAAAGTTCTTTGTGTTAATTTTACAAAAAAATATTTTTTTGCTTCCTGTATGGGCGAGTTTAAAAACTTATGGAAGTATGACATCAAAACAACATTGTTTTCGAAAGTGTCGTTATTAAATCTTAGTTTACATATATTTTAAAATTAATTCACGAACGTCAAGTCTTCCTACGACACACTTCTGCATACCTGTCAACTGCCAAAAAAATATCACAGTTATCCTAAAGAAAAAGATATTAAGTCGGGACTTGTAGTTTTTATATTCATAATTACTGTGTCCTTTAATTAATTTAAAATGAGAAAATTGCCATCATGTTGTGCAATCATAATTTTATATCATCAAATGGGCTAGACTAATTAAATTCAAAGCAATTTTCAACAGTAATAGAAAACATTCACTATTTTCGACGTAAGATCTTCTTGAAATTAAAGTTCATAGCGTTCGGTTTAGGAGCCTGCGAGTGTAATCTGATCATTATATAAATGTTTATGTTAACTTACGAATCGTTATCTGAATGACTTTATTATAAACCACAGGTTGATAAAAGAGAGCCAATTTAATGATGAGGTTAATAGTGACACCGGTTTAGAAGAGGAACACTCGCATTAGGTTGCTGTTCTAACATGGGTCGGTTGTATGCCACATTCATGAAGTGATTCACGCTTACTTTGCAAGGCATCGCAGCACTATTGCTTTGGCACTACAGCTCGAAGTTTACACATTGCTGCCATTTATGGGAACTAAACTTAATAATAAATTCTAAGTGATTGATTAAAAAATCGTGGTAAGTGTTCACGCCATTCATCGTGGATTCAAAAACAATTCTACGAACACATGCGCCGCACACACAGACACACAAAACACTCGCTGTGTAGCACAGCTGCACATTTAAAATATCACAGAATCAGGAATTGGCATAAAGTTTCTCGAAATACTAACGTGTACAACTGTATAAACCTCTTAAAGTACAATACTTAACAGAACATTGATCGCTTTGTTGGTTTGCTCAAGTCTAAACCTTCCCATGTAATAATACAAAGGTTTCAGCGTAAAGCTCGTAAAAATATAATACCGTACTTCAGCATGCGTTGCTTAGTAATTGGCTAGAGCTTGGAGTTAGGATGACGTCAGAATCTGATAATCATTGTGTTGTCGTTGCCCTTCTCTCCAGCATAGCCGAAGGAGTTGTAGAAAGCCTTCATGCTGTCTTTGCAGTCGAGTCCAATCTTGTAGCAGCCAACCTTCTTCGCCAGCAGCGTGATCGTGCTAACGATTCTGTTCAGCAAACAATTCATTCAATAACTGAACCTATCGCCTTTTCGCCTCACACGATAATTTCAGTTTTCCCTTCTCTTTACTGGACACTTGAGCCGTCTGATTTTGTTTCCTTGTGCGTTTTCTTTTCAACATTTATAGTTCCACCGCACTACTACCACCATTTTAAATCAATGCCTGAACATAGCATCAGCTCAGTCAACTTTGGAAAGCACAGAATTTAATACAATTCATTTAAGAAATTTCCTTAGAATTGTTGCCGATAAATTTCCCTGGAGTCCCACATTTAGAATTAAAGTCGATAAATTTCCCGGGACTCACAGTTTGCCCAGCTGCCGGCCTCGATACTCTTCGCTCACCACGACATCCTCCAGTCGTCCTCTCTGCACATTATACCAACATAGTGTCAAATTCATGGTGAGAATATAACTAATAACTACTGAACCAAACTCAAAATGTGGCTTGGCAACCGCTCGTCACAAGCTTCAACATGGAATGAAACTAACAAATGCAAAATGTCGCAAGTTTCAATAGAATATAACTGAAATCACAATTATTTATTTAATTTTAGAATACAAAACTGCATCGCTTCATGGTATTTTATCATTCGTAATGATAACTCACCAATGCTGACCGAACATCGTGTTCAGCACGAGTGTGAGCACGCAACAGTAGCATACCACGAGCAGCATGAACAGCGCTCCGTAGAATATTACTAGTGTGTACAGCATGGGAGCTATACATAGTTTATGTTCACAAGTTATAATGAAATAACTACAACATTACACTGCGAATTATTATGGTTCTAATAGTAATCTGTGCAGTGTGTATGCAAGAAATTTATGTGTTGCTTTCAATATGAAATGAACGACACTGCATGACATAAAATATCGTCACTGTACGCACAATTAACCTTCACATGTGGTAATTTTATTAATTACAATGGATCATGAAATAAAAATTAATTATTTTCTTCATTATCGACACGTAGGCGAGCGTAATACGTGCTCAGTTCAAGCCCCTTCAATCCACAACTTATAACAAATTTCCTTCGTCTATCCAAACTTCCTAGATATCTTAGAAGCTTGATGACGATATTAACCATTATATATAAATTAATCCTGGGCAATTAAAGCAATTGAATCCGATGATGTAAATGGAGTAGAAACGCTTGAACGAACGGATTTTCGAATGCAAAAGAAGCATTTCTAGGATAACGCAGAAAACAAATCACGATTAAAGATAACTTCAGTTACGTACGAAGAAAGCCTTAACTCGTGATGGTTTTATACTAAAATATTTTAAAAGTAAGAACCTTTACCAAGTATTCGATACATTTATCTGTATTGTTTCTTTCTGCGTTTCATTTTTAACATTTATAGTTCCACCTCACTACAGCCACCGAAAATTTTAAATCAATGCCTTAACATAGTTAGAACAAGTAGAACAATCAATAGAATACGTATGTCATCTGAAGAATTTTTGGCTCCCTGAAAATTGTAATATAATGCATTCTCTGGTCAATAATAACACGTGTTTCAACAGGATAATTCTGCCTTCTAAAACAAGTTATCTCGATATTTAGATAACTACAGCAACGATGCTTACCTTGGCACACCCTCTGATGAACTTCAACTCGACGGCGAGGGTAGCAGAAGCGATGATGGTTCCCTTGTTGAGGTCCTCGACTACAGTCACGTAGTAATGGTCACGACACGCGCGCATCGCGTCAAACCGAGCTGATGGAACACAATTTCTTAATATACTGTATATAAATAATTACATATAAATATCATAAGTATTATAATATTTATAAACGTAGTCAAAGAATTTAAGGTGTCATTAGTAACTCCAAAAGCATGTGACACAAGTGACCGACCATTTGTAAGAGGCACGAGTGATGCGTCATCAGACATCATGGTTATCACGTGACATCCCGTCATCACAAACATCCCGTCATCACAAACATCACGCCATCACAAACATCACGTCATCACAGACATCACGTTTATCACGAGATATCACGTCATCACAAACATCACGGTTATCACGAGACATCACGTCATCACAAACATCACGGTTATCACGAGACATCACGTCATCACAAACATCATGAGACATCATGCCATCACAAACATCACGAGACATCATGCCATCAGAAGCATCAAGATTACCACGAGAAATCACGTCACCAGAGATATCGCGGTTGCCTGCTCATCAAAAAGAGACATAATCTGTGACGAGCAGCTCTAGGTTGACACGAGGGTTCATACAGGAGCTGTTATCAGGTGAGATTAATTCAGTACGTGCAGACCTCGCTGGGACATCTAGGCAGGATCGTAAGATGTGGAGAGGGTCCAAAGTAATTCAGAGTAGAACTTGGAAAAAATCCCAGCATCAATCAAATTATGGGGATATTGTGAAAACTTCAGTAATTCATGAAAAATATTTAATAAAGTCAGCATCAAAACTACTGAAGGTTTTTTCAGCAATTGAAGGTGCACTGGTCCATAAAATTTTATAGCAATAATATTGCATGAGAAATTTAACTAATTTCTAGGACAAGAATGAAATCACAGTAATTCATGAAAAATACTTAATAAAGTCAGCGTCAAAACTACTGAAGGTTTTTTTCAGCAATTGAAGGTGCACTGGTCCATAAAATTTTATATAGCAATAATATTGCATGAGAAATTCAACTAATTTTTTAAACAAACCTTGAAACTGTTCCTTGGTTACATCCCCAACTTTCGTAAGATGACTTAGCAGCTCCAGGAAACCTGGAATAGAAGAGCGAATACAATAAATTTGACGTGAGACGAGGTGAATGACTATGCAGGCTTTCATCAGTCGCGACGCTAACCACACTAGTCAGGCAGCGCTACTATGCTGTCTGTACGCTAGTCAGGCAGCACTACTATGCTGTCTGTACACTAGTCAGGCAGCGCTACTATGCTGTCTGTACACTAGTCAGGCAGCACTATACTATGCTGTCTGTACACTAGTCAGGCAGCACTACTATGCTTCGTGCACTACACGTGTGCACTGCGGGGAAGCTTTGTGTAAGTTGAGCGTCGTAGTGTGTGTGAACTGTCACCCAAACAGCGCGCAATGCGAGTGCAAGTGGTATATACCTACAGCATACATGCGTCTGTACTCGATAAGAACCCTTCATGTCTGACGAAACAACGTATGATCACATCAAATTGAGAATAATGATTAAGCCTATAGGCACGCAGCCAGAATGTGTCAATAGGCTTTACAATAAAAAGGCAAGGTTGACGACTAGCGGTTTTCTCAACAGGATGGCTAGTCCAACAAAGGTCATTGGAGCATGTTTTGTCCAGGACATTTAGAGTCTACTTTAGACCTTGAATAATGACTGGCTGTTGGAGTGACAATGTTTCAGGAATTTTCGAGTGCCTACAGCATAAAATTATTGAAACAAAAAAGTTATATACAAATTAAATTGTGTAAGCATAGAATATCTAAACCTGATACCAATGCAGTGGTCGATGGGGTGGATGTACAAGATGTTTTTAAATGAGTTAAAACCGGTTAATATACTTAACGATGAATTTGTATTCATACGTGAATGCCTTCACTTGAATATAATTTTGAAATGCAATCAATGAAAACTCAATTAAATATTTTAAAATATGGATAACTTTTGTTAGCAACAAAACCCTTAGAACCGATACCTTACACAGCAGAAACGACATAGTCCATAACACACGATTCCAGTAACGATGTAGTATTTACTAAAACTACTGTTCCTAAAAATTGGTCTTATATCGGTCTTGTCAAATCTGTTCATATTCAAACGCTGCAGAAATAACATACAAGCGACCTAAACAGTGATAAGAAAGCGTGATAAACCTTCAACGCCGATGTTACTTTGAATACGTTACCATAGAGTTTTTATACGATATACGGCCCAATCATTCACAATTCGCGAGGATATATAGACTGCATAACAATGTAGGCAAGGGTGATGTTGCTAGAGCACCAGCACCAGCAATTTCATGAATCTATATTAGATACAAAGTCTGCCAAAATCATAATGAAACGTATACTATTAATATTATTTAGTATTTACAATACTTAATTATTACTAATTGCTTAATACGAGACGTTCAATGATTACTAGGCGTAAAATAAGGCACTGGCAAGAAAATAAGGCACTGGCAAGAAAATAAGGCACTGGCAAGAAAATAAGGCACTGGCAAGAAAATAAGGCACTAGCAAGAAAATAAGGCACTAGCAAGAAAATAATTAAGGCACAGGCAAGAAAATAAGGCTCTGGCAAGAAAAAAAGGCACTGGTAAGAAAATAAGGCACTGGCAAGAAAATAAGGCACTGGCAAGAGTACCGCTGCTCGCGATAGCATCAATACGAGACGCCGTCGCTACCAGCAAGTCAGGAAGTCGCGACGTCATGTTAGTGCCAGACGCACTCGTGCAAAATAACAGAAGTTTTTTTTTAATTTACACCTTCAATGGCGACTTTTCGACCCGAAACATAAGTAAAATTAATTTATCTGGTTAATAATGATAATTAATAATGTTATATAAAATATTTGATTAGTTCATTGATGCTGAACTAGTGAAGTAAGCAGAAGGTCAATGGTATAAAGATATAATAGAGCGGGCTCCAGTTCGTCGCAGTGGCCAGGCGACTTCATGCAGCTTCCCGTTGACCTCCACACATGCTACGTAAACGTAAGCGTTACGCAGGCTGGACAACGGCGCGTCTCATTCATGTTGTAAAGAACACCGGTATTTACCACCTGTTGTTTGAAGAACACCGGTATTTACCACCTGTTGTTTGAAGAACACCGGTATTTACGAGCTGTTGTTTGAAGAACACCGGTATTTACGAGCTCTTGTTTAAAGAACACCGGTATTTACGAGCTGTTGTTTAAAGAACACCGGTATTTACGAGCTCTTGTTTAAAGAACACTGGTATTTACCAGCTGTTGTTTAAGAAAACCGGTATTTACCAGTTGCTGTTTGAAGAACATCTGTATTTACGAGATGTTTAAAGAACACCGGTATTTACCACCTGTTGTTTGAAGAACACCTGTATTTACGAGCTGTTGTTTAAAGAACACCGGTATTTACGAGCTGTTGTTTAAGGAACACCGGTATTTACGAGCTGTTGTTTAAAGAACACCGGTGTTTATCAGCTGTTGTTTAAAGAACACCGGTATTTACCAGCTGTTGTTTAAAGAACACCGGTATTTACCAGCTGTTGTTTAAAGAACACCGGTATTTACCAGCTGTTGTTTGAAGAACACCGGTATTTACGAGCTGTTGTTTGAAACGCGTCGAAATTTACGAAACATTTTCAAGGGTCTTTGGAAATAGAATAGAATAGAAGTAACGGCGTTGAAGAAATAGGCCCATGGCAATATTCGACATTTTTTTAAGATATATAGTACTGAAAACTTGACATCATTTTACACTGCATCTTTCTCATCCAAAATGTCATACACTAATGCAATATATTCGTGTATTTCTTAATGAGCCTAATTTTTCTATACAAAATCAACAACAATCTAGTGATTAACTTGAACTTGTCTCCTACTCTCAGATGAATAATCTAAACTTGGTCCAAAAAGGATCTTTTACTCTCGGATGGGTAATCTTGTCCCAAAGACAGAAGGGCATTTCAGCGCTACTTCTGCTCCCTGTTCGTGCTGTGGCGAGAAAGTGTCACTATTAGGACAATATGATCCATTTATTTTTCTGAGCAACTTCCATTCCGGCTTATCTTGTGTCAAGGAGAAAACTGACAGCGCGTCGGCGCGAGAGATAAGATTACATTGCTCCTGCATTCTATCGTAAAAAATGGTAATAAAATCCGTTATACCTTAATATATGATCCAAAGTTGCCTGTCAAACTGACTTGGTTGTTTAATTCATCGCTCAATCAGAGCCTACCGTTGTCCTTTTATGCGGTCATCAGGCTTCAATATCAGCCACCGACGCTTAATATTGAAGCATCCTACGTCGTTTGCAAGCTTAGCGCGCACTTGCCATTCTCAGTCGAAATGATACTAAAAAGAACTTTTTTTTCATATCTAATTTTCAAACAGTTTAATTTTGTAGATACGAGACGTCAGCACAGGGAGTTATTTTAATAACTTGTACTACAAAACTTATAACTAAACGCTTTAAATAATCTTAACTAGATTCCAGCTGTGAAGTAGTGTTCCTGTCTACGCGAGAAAACGGGCAGGAAGAAGTTTCGTAAGCGGCATTTAGAGCCAGGAACATAAAAACGCAGTGAATGAAGAAAAAAAACACGGAAATAAGCATGGCTGGCCATTACGAGGAAGTTGATCAATAGGATGAATATAACAGTATATTAGAAAAAAAATAAACAGCAAATGACTTGTTGAGAAGTCGAACAGGATCAACAAGGGGCGGAGGGGAGGGGTTATCAATGAAGGCGAGTTCTGATGTTGAAAATTTTTTAGAAGTCATGCATACGAACTAAATAGCCATGACTTACATGTTCTTACCCTTTATAATAAATTTTCCAAATCAAAATAACTCTCAGCATTAGTCCCTTTATTTAATGCGATTGTAAATTTTATTAAATTAAATCATAAATTTGAACTAGATACGTATATGCGCTATGCAATTTTTTTACCACTATTGTGAATTTTTAAACCTCAATATGTTCGCTTCTCTCCATCACTCTCTACCTTTCAGCCTTACCTTTATTGAAGTCGTCCCTTTGAAGTGGCCGGACTCTGAAGCCAAGACCTGGGCTGTCTGAAGTAACTCCATCCTTCATACAAGTCACGCTCTTCCAGTCCAGCCCCTGCAGCAACGCCGGGTCGTACAGCGGCTCTTCCCGCGTCTCTGGGCCGACCCAGCCGTTCTGGCGCGATCAAAATTAAACTCTAAATCTAAAAATATTTTTAGATAGTGATTACTAGTGTAAAAAACCTTACATAAATCATAAATATTCCGTGCGCAAGTTTTAGAAAACTTTTACTGAATAGTGAATGCATGTGTATCCTATAGTATGTTCGCCAAGACTAGCGCTTTCTCATGCTTACCAGTTACCACTGCATTTTGTAAAATCATTAAGCTTACTCAGCTTACACATATTTTAGAGACACACCTAACTGACCTACAGAGATTTAAAAATTTAATATAAAAACTACAAGTACTTGTACTACCATGCATTAAAGATAAAGGATTAGCTCCAGTGATAGCTTTAACTTTAAGTCGAAAAAGGTTAAGGTTTTCAAGGAGAATGATTGCCCACAGAAAGAAATGGTGCGGCTGTAATTTGCAGACGATGAATACCCACAGTTTGTCTTCAATTTCATGAGGAAGTTCTAACCTAAAATTTCAAATACTGCAGTCCGCTTCCGTATATACAAGTAAGAATTCAATGATACTGACGCTTTTGATTCCGTTTTGAACTGCCATGCCGAGGAAACTCGTGTCCACTTCGTGCGTACACCCTCACTTCCCAACCGCCACGCACCAACTAACATGAGCAATGTCATCGCCGCATCGCGCACGTTGCACAATGCCAACAATGCCAGCGGCAGCGTACACCGAAATTGCTGGACTTGAACTTTGAAGATTGCTCCTTACCATGTAACGTTCAATCTACTACAAAGCCATTGAAGATGAACACCTTTAAATCATGACAGAATTATTTCACAAATTCCCAAAGGCATCTATTGGAATTTTCAAGTTAGGCCTCAATGTCATGCTGTAGTTTGCTATTTTCTAAAATTGTCTATTTCTGCTAATGGGGCAAGTTGGAAATTCTCATTTGGTCAACCATAAATTCATTTCTATATTGACCAGCGGTTTGACGCTTGCGCAATATAATCGTCATATGAGGAATTATTAATTTTCAAGTGATTAACTTTTAAAGGGTACCTAAGTTTGGTTGTTAAAAACATTAGGGACAAAAAATATAGGAAAGATTGCGTCTATTTAAAAATCATTTAATCATTCCTCAATCAAACTATAATAAAAAATATAACTCAGTACTCACCGCAGTAAGTGACAGAGAGCGCATTTCTCGTCGACGAAAACGTGAAGTCATGGACGGACGGACAGACATGACGAGCACAATAGTACATTTTTTCCATAAATGAGAAAATGCGATAAAAATTCGAAGAACCTGATTTTCCTGAGGTGCTAATTCATTTACGTATGTTCAGTGAACATTTTCGATTCCCTTCAATTGCTAGCAAAATGAATGTTCAAGACTTTAAGCACTCACAAAATTTATATTCTACAGCAAACTTTCCAGCGATTTTTAAATGCATTTTTTTTTTCATTTTCTGTTCATCCAATGAAGAAATCTTCAAATTTTGCCACTTTTTATAAATGGTCTTGAGGCGTGTTTTTATATATATGGTAAACTCGTCGCTGTGGCAATCATTTCAAAATCAGATTGGGTACGGGTGAAATTTTAAGCTAAAGGTGCTAAATAATATGAGCTAACTTTGATTATCAAATTAAGCTTGCTTAATAATATTGCTGGTGAATACATTGCCCGCTGTAATGCTAATTGCAAATGCGATTTTAACGTTAGGAGAGGATAAAGTACGAGTAGTGCATCTTGGTTGAACAAATTTTTTATTTGTCATGAGTTTACATGCGCTACAATTTTTCGAGATCAGTTTAAAATGAGTGTAATGATTCTCCCATAGATTGCTTTCCTCAAGTGCTAATTTTAACTTGAAATTGACATGAGAAAGGTCATCAGAGAAATACTCGTGTCAATTGACTTCTATGTACATTGGAATGAAAACAAGCATATTTAATTCCATTAAGGGCAATTAACTTGTCAAAAGTGCCCGTTTCACAATTTTAAAAATATATTAAAACAATTGAGGCATCGCACTTCGAATAGAAATAAGCGCAGTTCAATTGGTTTCGGTCGAATCAAACATGACGGGGTTATGCATGGCTAAAATTTGAATTTTAATTGCCAAATTTTTGACCCGAAATAACTTTAAATTAAAACTGAATCGTAAAATGTAAGAACGGTCTTTCCTTGCTATTTATTATGCAGCGTAGTGCATAACGGATGATTTTCCGTTGGTATGGCTTCGAAAAAAATTTTTGTGCTTAACCCCGAATCTTTTCTTAAGTTCTAACTTCTAGGTGTACATTGTTGAAAAGTTTTCTCTGATACTTAATTTTATTTCCTAGACTGCATTATTCTTTTCTACATAGAAAAAGTATTTCAACTAATACAGATGCCCATTCAAGAAAATTTGCATAGTTTGTTCGAGTGTGCCACAGTAGCAGCCACACAATTTTTCAGTAACAGCGGAAAGCGGTCCATGATTTACTTCATCACGGTTGATTTGCTGTCTGTCTGCTCACTCTGGTGACTCTTCTGCCTGCTGCCTGCTGGTGCTGGTGCGCAGCCAATCCCTCCCTCCCCCTGGCCGCAATGTGATTGCTGTGCATTTGTTGTAATTGCTGTCGGTTCAACAAGTGAATAAGTAATCCTTTGTTATTCGTTTTGAGGAGTTTTTGTACATGCTCTCAACTGAATCGCATTCGAAACTTCTTATTTATCGAATTTGTATAAATGAAATATAAAAAAATCAACCATATATTATCCTATATATATAGTATATAGGTAGTCCACTAATGTCTGATAGGCCTATTGCTCAGAATATCTTTCTTTAATTTCTTATTTTATTCAGTTTAGGTATTCCAAAGTTCAAAACTTCAAGTCTCACCCTCATAGTGACAAACCAGAGATTTTTTAGAATCAGTTCATTTTTAATTTCCTCACTTACCCAAGATTTAAACCAATTTCTTATGTATGATAATGCTAGTATCCAGGATACTTTACTGGTCTACTTATAGGACTCAAAAATGAACTTGAGGGAGAGTCTAAAAAACTCTCTGCTTTGCCACTATGCATGATACTTTACTGGTCTACTTATAGGACTCAAAAATGAACTTGAGGGAGAGTCTAAAAAACTCTCTGCTTTGCCACTATGCTCACGGTCTCACCCTCATTGTCCTAGCCTTCCTAGGGCCCAGGGGCCTGTTTCAGACTTTCAGTGTTCGATAAATATTTATAGTGAACTACCTACCTAGTTCAAAATGTAATTTAATCATGGCTTGATAAAATTTTTTAAGGTTAGCTATTAGGCTATTAAGTATATAATAATTTGAATTATGGATTCAAAATGTCTGTTCTGGCTCAAAAAATGGGTAGGGTAAACGCGGTATATTCCGTCACATTAAGGACGCATCAAGAAATGAAAAACTATAAAAAAATAACCGTATGCGTTACTCAAGTTCTGTTTGCTTTAGGTGACTCTCAAAACACCGTACTACGCGTCGCCCGTCGGCAATGATGAAATTTCACAAAATGTTGCCATATTTATGTAAAAGCCTTTAGAATGCAAACCTACCAAATCCCTATAGGGTAAACGCGGTATATTCCAACACATTAAGGACGCATTGAGAAATGAAAATCTATAAAAAAAAACGTGTGCGTTATGTAAGTTCTGTTGCCTTCACATGACTCTCAAAACACTTCACTACGCGTCAGCAACAATGAAACGTCACAAAATGTTATGAAACGCCATATTTATTAAAAAGCCTTTGGATGGAATGGAAACCTACCAAATNGAGTCGTAATGCCTGTCTCTTATACACATCTTTTTTTAACCTATTAGATATGCAATTTTTTTAAATCTTTCTATTGTGTTATGTAGCCTCAGTATTAGGCCTTTATTGCCCATTGACAAAATTTTTCTATGTCAAATAGTTTTTGAGTTTTGGGGGTTTTTGTTAAAAAAACAAAAAGTGGTCTAAGTTACCCCATTTTACGGTACTAGGCTATGGCCGCTACGCAGGTCGCAGAATGCAAGCAGTTTGTGCTGATTGTGTAGAAAAATTACAATACTAATTTAAAGAGATAACAGATTCTGGAAGAAGGAGCACAATATTTTCCAGCATGCTAACAAATCTAGAATAGTTTCAACATTCAACTACCGTACAAGCATAATTTTTAAAAATTGTTGCTAAAAATGATTTTTTTATGTAATTTTTTAGTATAGCTGGGAAAATTTATTATTTCTTCTTATTTTTCAATAAAGACATTTGAAAATGGGGCTTTAAAATAGATAGGCAACTATCTATCTGCAATTTATAAGTATGGATATTTATGTCCATGATGACAGATAATCACATCAGTGGACAGTGGCAGTCACTTAAAATCTATGTATTTCCTGATTTTCCAGTTTGACATGCAATGCCATATTATGATTTGTCAAAAGATTATTACTATCTATCAGTGCCACATTTTATATGCAGCTCATAGTTAGGAAAGAGATCTAATGCTAAGTATAGAAAGTCTGCCTGTCAGGAATCATGTACTTGAACAAATTAATAGATTTTGGAATAGCTTTAGTAATATTCACTAAAATTTGGGGAGATATGGTTTTTAAAAAAATGTATCCAGGTAGTGCCATTAGAACAATCAAATGGTAAATAAAGACTGATCATGCCAATCATGAATGACATTCTTGTTTAGTACGGTATTATCTTGACAATGAAAAAGTCTCAAAAAAATTAAAAATTTGAGATTTTCTTTTACTGTGTGCTGTGGAGACTATAATTTGGTTTTGTTGCCCATACATTGTAATATTTATGCATTTATTTGTTGATTCTTATTCATTTTTTTTCAGATAACTGTTGAGTCTTTTGATCTGGTCCTGTGAAAGAAAAGAACCATCATGGGAAGGACCAGACTTCTGTTGCAGCTTGGCAAAGAGGCTGTATATATGCAGCAGAAATGTGTTGTTGGAGTCACAAAATTAAGGACAAAACCTTGGAAGCTGTTAAATGATTATAATTCTATGAGAATATCAAATTTTTTTGGAGGGATTTATTCTCCACTGAGTAGTTTCAATGAAAATTATTGGCATAAAAATATAGATGTTGATTTTGCAAAACAAATCTCATCTTTACAAAGACCAGCAGTTTCACACGAATATTTTGTCCCAAACCTGTTTGGGTCATTGCACAGAAATCATTTTGGTTTGCCAACAAGTTTTCCAGTTTCTTTCACCCCTCTTGAAAGGGCACGTCAGTGTTATTTCTCCAGACAGTTCAGCAAAGCTAGCAGTGATACAGATACTACTGTGGATTGGAGAATATCATCAAGTAATAAACTAATACAAACTAGAACAAAGCTGGAAAATGCCAAGCACAAGTTAGAGGATGCCAAGCAAAACTTCATTGAGGACATTCAGGACACTAAAGCCAGGATGAGAGTAAAAATGGATGAAATAATTGAAGTAAGGAAGTTTCATGAAAGTTATATTCACTTTCATGAATGATTAAAAATTTATATCTGGCTTTTGTATCTTTTTATATTTCTTGTTTTGAATTGTAGAATTATCAATCATTAAACACAATTGCATGTATAATTAACAACGACTCTGGTATGTTTTTGATAGAGAGTTTCTCATATAGATTAAGACTGCTCAGTACTGTATGTCTAGTCTGATTCACTCCAATAACTAATAGGTATTTATGTTGCAGAGAGAAAACATCTTCACAATACCCAACTTTCTCTGCATTTCTCGAATTGTTGCTGCTCCATTTCTCTGCCACCTGGTTCTGACAGGCAGCTATGACATGGCTTTGGGACTCTTCATGCTTGCTGGAGCCACAGACCTGGTTTGTTAAAGGCTTGGGTTAAACATAACTGTTTGTTCAGTTTCAGTTCTTTCTTCAGTCTTATTCATTTTTGTGAAAACGTTATATTTTCACGAAAACATTCATAATAATCACTTTCAAAATTTTTGACCAATAATTATTTCAATAATAATTTAGAAATTTCTTGATAGTACTTACTTTTTTCTATCAATTTTATGAACTTTATGACACTATATTTAATAATTTTTTAGTTTGTAATTGTTGTGCAACAAGTTTTGAGATCAAATAGATTCATATATGTCCATTTTCACTTAAATCCACACAAAATATATGTACCCTTTTTATCTATTTGAATAATTAAAGATACAGTAGTGTTCTCATTTAATAATTACATCTGTTCACAGGCCGATGGCTGGATTGCCAGAGTGTTTCCAAGTCAAGCTTCAAAACTGGGCAGCTTTCTAGACCCTCTGGCAGACAAAGTGCTGGTAGCCGTGCTGTTCTTGGCACTTACTTGCAATGGCTTAATACCAAGTGCGGGATCGATCGTTAAGGTTTTAAAAGACAATAAAATATTGTTAGCGAAACTATTATTAACTATGAGTTCTTCTAATAATTAATACATGAAATATTTATAGATGAAAAAGCCCACTAAACACATATGACTTGTAACATTGAACTAAAAAAAAGTGAATTCACAATTTTGATAAAATAATATATATGTACCTAGTGTTGCATTTTTAAATTAACTTCGCACCAAGTTAAAACATTATGTAAATGCTTTGTATGAATTATTCACGTTGCTTGTCTGTATTTTTTGAGAAATTAAGTGATTTTTCAGTTCCTCTGACGGGTCTCATCATCTATCGTGACGTGGTCATCATCGCAGCCGCCTCCTACGTGCGCTACAGGAGCCTTCCTGCACCGGTAACTCTGTCTTCATTGTCAATTAATAAGTCATTGTTATCTTAGAATATTTCCGCTATGCAGTATTGAATATTTCAGATTTGCTGGCCGCCTCCTATTTGCACTACAGGAGTCTTCCTGCACCGGTATCTCTGTCTTCATTGTCAGTTACTATTTCCTAAGACATATTTATTTTAAGAAATTTCTGCTGTCAAGTATTGAACATTTCAGTCAGGCTAAAACATTTATGCTGCATGCAACAATGGTTGGTGATTTTAATTACGATAATTTTTCTTTATGCTTCAAATTCAACTACTAACTTGTCTTCCTAGCTTCCAAAAACAAATAAATATCAAATTTATGAACCAATTTTTGTGCTTTTAAAGACTGAAACATCATTCGTGTTCTCTCTATCTCATGCAGAATTTAAATGTAAATTAAATTACAACTGTAGGGCGGTAAGTATTCCTTAAATAAATGACAGTTTATATGAGAAAGGATGTATTTTCCTCAGGTACGCAATGATCTATTTGCCGCCCAGTGAGTCAAGTCATTGCACAAAAAAAAATCTGAATTTTTTCCAATACTTATATTTAAACACCAGATCTCCACTAAAATCGCATTAATATTTCGTTAAGAACATAATCAGTCAATTGTTAATGCTTATTCATAATTTCCTATGCAAGTTTGATACCTTAATGCAACGAACACGAGCGAGCAACTACATCCATCGAAACTGGTTACCACTTTCCTACGAATTTCTTACGAATTAAATTAGGAATATTGAGCATATGTACACACTAACTTAGGTTTTCCTTTTTTCAAATTTGACTTCTTTTATACATTGATTGTACTTTCATTCTCCAAATTTATGAACTGATGATGGAACTGGACTCCGGTGCGTTTTCGATGGAGCTATGCCGAATTTACTTGTCATTTTATTTGCTTTCAAATTAATATACAAGTGGAAAAATTACAAAAATAATTATATTTGAACATCCATGTAGAGGACATTGATGCGCTACTTCGACGCAACTCACGCTACCGTGCAGTTGTCACCCACCCTCATCAGCAAAGTGAACACAGCTGTACAACTCAGCCTCATCACTGCCACCCTCGCCCAGCCTGTGATTAATTTCCCCTCTCCCGCTGCCATGACAGCTCTATGGTACGTTCTAACATTATCATCCGAATAAAACTTTCGGTCATGGCTGTAAATGTATATAACTGACTGGAATATTCCAGCAACGAAGGAATAGTCCTAATGCTTTTTAGAATCTATAATATTCTTTTTTGGGACACCCGTTCAAATGCCTCGTTTTATCATGTTAAAGGGAATAAGTTTTAAGGAATCAGTTAAAACATAACGTTTACATATTTTGTAGTGCGTGTCAATGTTATTAAAGATGGTACCAACCAATTTTCAAGAGTGTCTTTTTTATGTTGTTCTTCAAAGTTTGGCCTTCCACACTGCCGTAGTTAAAGTGATGATATGATCGAGCTAGGAAGAATGAAAGTGCTGTACATAATTGCCAACAGATTCATGAAGTTTTTACATTGCAGGTGCGTGACGATCATCACGACTATTGCATCTGGTGTGAGTTATATCTTCTCTCGCAATACGTACATCGTCTTAGATAAACAACTTCAGCAGCAGTTGGATAAAGAACGCGAGCAAGAACAACGCAAGAATTGAATCTTGGCTTACAAAGTATAAGGTGTTCAGTACGAGTCTTTTCTCAATTTCTTTTTTGTCCGCTTTCATCATTATTTAGAAGAGTTTTACTTATGTATTATGATCTTTTTCTACTTCATGGAACTTGTCCCGAATGAGTCTCTTTCTTATAGGTATGTTGCAGTTGCAAGTCTTTTCAACATGCAAAAGCGAAGGTTATTGCTACCTCAACATTGATTCAAAGTTATGGTAGCAAAAATTATTTTTCAATCAATGTTGCTAGCACGACATTGATTTCATCAGCTAGTACCTACAGTGAGGGGAAATAAATATTCGTACACTTGAAAAATCGTATTTTAATGTATGTAAGTACACAAACTTAACAGGAAAAGTGATTTAAATTATGAATTTAATTTTTTTTGATAGTATTTTTGAATACTATGCGTCTCTATACATAATTTAAAACTCTTTTCCTGTTAAGTTTGTGTACTTACATACATTAAAATACGATTTTTCAAGTGTACGAATATTTATTTCCCCCCACTGTATATATATTTTAAGTTGTGAATACTGGTCATCACGGAATTATTTTTCATCAACCGTTATTCTATTCCTAACCTGAACGAAGTGGAATCCTCTTATTGTACCGCTGGCGGCTTCTGTTTTCTCAGAGCTCATTTTTCCGGCGCAACTTCCTTGCAATAATGAGTGCAAGTCATTGCTGTCACTGACGAGGACGAATTCAGTCTGTTCAGCTGCTTGTACTCGTCCGTACTTTTTCTGAGCTGCTAATTTGTCCTTTTTATACTGCCATAATTAACTGTCGGACACAGCGGCGATTTGTTGCTAGTTATTTTTGTATAAATTAACTTCAAATTGAATGATCTTCCTGATTCTATATAATTATTTGATCATTAAACTTGTCATGATCGTAGATGCGCGTTAGGCCTCTGCCTTTGGGCCGTCCGCTCAAAATACACTCAAATGCACGTATCGTCCTAATTAGTATAGTTAGGCAGAAGTTCTTCATTTGTGCCGGTTTGATTGAAGACCAGAGCATGCTTTTTATTAACAATTTTCTTGTTGTTTTTTTTTTTTCCAATAAGCCGAACAAAATTAATTGCTTTGAGATCGAACAGCAGGTTACCAAATGACATTTTACTTTAATACGACGGAATAGAATATTCGGTTTTCATTATCAAGTAGGTGCAGAGTTTCATTTCGCTTGAAATTTTAAATTTGGAAATGACAAAAGAACTTACAAAAGTTATCGTAGATACGGGTTGAAATCAAAGCTTAAAGTTATTCCGATAACAACTTCAACGTCCTGACAAATCCGGTGGTCTGCAAGTTGACATCAGGAGACTAGTCCTGACGATGCGAGCCTCTGCTATCGCGTTATGTGGTGTCGGGGCACCGCATGATGATGCTAATGCAGGCTTCCAACATTACGCGAGTGATGTTTCATTATGAGCCTCCCGCTTATGGTTCTTTGGTCCACCAGTTTTTAGGTAGCATGTGAGTCGGCGGCTCAGGGTCTTGCTGATCAAACAAAAGTAGAGTGCATTTCGTAGACGCTGAAGTTTTTCTCGGACATTGAAGTTGTACTCGGAATAATTTTAAGTTTTGATTTCAAACCGTGTCTTCGAAACCTTTTGCATGTGCTTAGGTCATTTCCAAATTTCAAGTGTTGTAAAACTCTTCGCCTACGCGAGAATGAATATCGAAAATTCGAAACGTCGTAATGCTAATAAGAAAATAAGAGGATTGTTAATAAAAAGTATACGTTCTAAGTACACGTAGCGGCCGATTTCTTGTCTGTGCTTGATGAATTAATTAAGCTTGATAAGCTCTTGGGGATTGGCTGCTGAAGTAAAGAAACTTGTAGCCATTGTCCAGGATTCATATATATATATAACATGGACAACGAGTTGCTGGAAGCGAACGACAACGTAATTATTTATTGGGTTATTACACTAGGGGAGTGACGAAGTCCTCGTTACGTGTATTAGATGTTAAGAACATTTATAATGTGTGCGTGTTATTTAAATTGTGGGGCCTTGAGTTAATATTTTTGTGTGCCGCGCTTCATGATAGTAGTCCCGTAATTACAACTCCGTAATAATGAATGATTGTTGTCGGCTGTTATTATTAATAATATTTTTTTATAAAAATAGCCTGCCAATTATTAATTGTATGCCTTGAATTTGGAGTCGCACTCGTCACGATCCCCGCGACGCTTTGAGCAAAACCTGTAATTTGATTCAATTGATTAATTAATTTTTTGCCGGTTAATGAAAACTACAAACGAAATATTAGATTTGTGTTGGATTTTTTTTTCAAAGAGCTTCTGATGTTTGATTTTGAAATTTTACTCAGTAAGTATTCATATAAGCAGATTTTTCTTGAATCATTTACAGTTTTTTTTTGTTCAGTGTAGCTAGAATGTCAGTGTAAATTTTTTCTGTCAAGTAGCTAGCTGTCAAACATGTTAAATAATCATGACAATTATGCAAATGTCCAGTTATCAATGTTCAGTGCATTGTTTTATTTTATATTCATGGTGTGAATTGTGCTGTAATTTAGATTAGGCGAGTCAATCTTATAAAGAACAGGTTGTATGCTGCTAAATATTGTTAAGTAAAGCTCCTTGAAGAGGAACTTGAAAATATCGATCGTTTGAATGTCCCTTTTTGTGTCGAAATCTGCATGTCACATTTTTAGAGATACCTGAATTTATTTTGTTTTCATATGGAATAGAAATTTATAATGTCTACAATTTTTTAAAATAATTTTCTGCGCTGAAGTATTGAGCGAAGCATGAAATGTAAAACATTTTATCCAACTATCACCGAGTCTTGCCTTTCACTTACGACGGTATGAAGCAATCCAGAACGGGCCTTCTTTTCCAGCGATGGCGTTTTTCCTTAACGGAATGTTGATCAAAAAAATCATTTGGAAGAAAATTAATCCGCTTCCAAAAATATTACTTGGTTTAACAACCAGTGATAAGAAGTGACTTCGAGAATGAAGAGTCCGCAGCTTTCGGTGGCAAGATGCATTAAAATGTAAACGAACAAGAAATGAATTTTGGTGATGCAAATAACAATTGCATAGGCCATTTTCAGTTTGGCTGGAAAAAATTACACGATGATCAGTGGGAATAATTCTTGCACCATAAGTTTGTGGAAAAACTACACCGGTTTCTTGTTCTTCATTGATTAGGAGCATCCATTTTTCAGCTCAATCTAACAGCCTGACACAGAAATTTGAACACTTACGATTCATTACGTTATATATCTACCTAAGAAAATAAGTTTATTTACGCAATGACCGAAAATACCATACCTATCTATTTGCTTTTAAAACTCTCTCTCTCTTTTGGTTAAGTTATTTCCTATAGCAAAATAAATCGAAGATTAATATATTTAGAGTCCTGAAATTTGGATTTCAATGATGGTATGAAATGTTCGTCGTGAGCTCCGTAGACTTTGTTCCACGTTCGTCACGGTGCAGCACGAAAATAGCTTCATTGTTCACAAATTGCAGTAAAGATCCGGGTTAGCCTGCCTGCCCATGCCATGACTCATGTGTTCACTACGCGCAACACTACAACTCGTTTGGTTGTTACGAGCAACAATTGTACAAGTAGTACAAGTAATTCCCCGCAACAGTACAAATTTATGATACAGTGAAAAAAACGTCACAAAAAGTACAGTTGCAAGTTGATCTTGACAGGTTGGTTGACTGGGCTGATAAGTGGCAGCTGCGTTTTAACGCTGACAAATGTAAAATAATCCACCTCGGCAAGAATAATGACAGCAAGAATACAGTATGAGAAGACACGGTTGCAACGACAGAGTGATGATGTCAAAGTCGACAATGGAAAAAGATTTAGGAGTTAATATCGACAATGAGTTGAAATTTTCAACTGTTGCATTAACGACTTTTTATTGTGGAAAAAAGAATTATAGCTGCAGAACTACCCAATTAACGACTTAATTATAGCTGCACAACTCCCCAATTAACAACTTATGGCTGCAGAACTACCCAATTAACGACTTAATTAGAGCTGCAAAACTTCCCAATTAGCGACTTATAGCTGCAGAACTACCCAATTAACGACATATAGCTGCAGAACTACCCAATTAACGACTTATAGCTGCAGAACTACCCACTTAACAGTTTATAGCTGCAGAACTACCCAATTAACGACTTAGAGCTTCAAAACTTTCCAATTAGCGACTTATAGCTGCAGAACTACCCAATTAATGACATATAACTGCAGAACTACCCAATTAACGACTTATAGCTGCAGAACTATCCGATTAACGACTTAATTATAGATGCAGAACTTCCCAGTTAGCGACTTATAGCTGCAGAACTACCCAATTAACGACATTTAGCTGCAAAACTCCTCCAATTAACGACTTATAGTTGCAAAACTCCCCAATTAACGACTTATAGCGATTTATAGCTACAGAACTGTCCAATTAACGACTTATAGCTGCAGAACTACCCAACTAAAGACTTATAGCTACAGAACTACCCAATTACCGACTTATAGCTACAGAACTGTCCAATTAACGACTTATAGCTGCAGAACTCCCCACTTAACAGTTTATAGCTGCAGAACTACCAAATTAAAGACTTTTAGCTGCAGAATTACCCAATTAGCGACTTATAGCTATAGAACTACCCAATTAACGACTTATAGCTGCAGAACTCCCAAATTAACGACTTATGGCTTCAGAAATACCCAATTAACGTTTTATAGCTGCAGAACTACCCAATTAACAATTTATTGTTGTTGAATTGACGATTTTTTTTTTCAGTTGAATTCTGAGCGCCGAATGTAACGAAATCTAATGGCGGCAGCAGCAGAGGAAGATGTCTGTGATAGCTTCAAGTTGCGCTGATAATTAAGAGGCCTTCTGATATGTTATCTTTTATCAGCAACTGTAGAATTACATTATGGTACTGAGCTCGAACATTTAATTAAAAAGGATTCTATTTATGTGAGGACCATTTTGGGCTGTATAGTTTTGTTTTGGGAATGGTCATCTATGATTTTTTCGTGAGAAAATAAGTATTATTTTTAAAATAAACAAAATTTGTGCAGCCATGCGAAAAAGTATTGCCCTCAAAACTGGCATGATTTGGGATACAAATATATTTTGTTGTTGCATCTGCATTTCGAATACCTATTGACCTATTCTGCAATGCCAGATATTTCAGATCAATTAAATTGTATTTTTCTATTAAAATTCTATTATAGAATTTTTTTCGTAAAAGAGCCTTGATTTTTTACGTAGGCAGAATAATTTTGTCCAAATTTCAATGTAACTACAT